CCCTAGTTATGGATCGGCCACTCGGGGGCGCCCAAACCATGTGGTGACGGACCGCGTGGCGACCCTCGGATCCCCCAAACGACATCACCGCGCGGTCCGTCACCGCACGGTGTTGGGACATCGGAGGCCCCAGTCGCCCGAGGCGCCCTTGGAGAACGGCCCGAGTCCCGAAACCGTGCGGTGACCCCCCGAACCCCCAGTGACTCGCCACGCGGCGTGGTCACCACACTCGGGCCGGGCGAAGGGGGGGATAACAAAGGGGGGGGCGAGAATCAGCTCACGTAGCTGATTTTCACGGCGGCTCCCGGCGCCGGGAGGCGCCCATGTATCGAGGAATGGGCCCCTCGGTGGGGCCGAAGCCAGCTGCATGGAGCAGATTTCGTAACCCCCCCTTGTCCATTTCCTCTCCTTGACTACCTACCAGACCACCCCAACCCAACCCGAAGACCCGAATTTCGGGTTCGAGGGGGTAAGGGTTCCACGTGTGTTTTTTCAATGTTCCCCGACCCCCCCACACTGGAAATCGAGGGTAAATCTGAGCCTTCGGGTTGGGTTGGGGTGGTTTGGTGGGTGGTGACCCCTTTCGTCTGGCCCGACGCACGTGGCCCCCCCGAGCCGCGCCCCCTCCCTCCCACGCGTTCCTCCTCCTCCTCCTCCTCCTCCTCCTCCTCCTCCTCCTCCTCCTCCTCCTCCTCCTCCTCCTCCTCCTCCTCCTCCTCCTCCTCAGCATACCCTGAGCATCTCCAGCGCCGAGACGACCCAGTAGCCCACCACGACGAAGGTGCAAGGCAGCAACACCGCGCCCCGGCCGCAGCCCAGCTCAGCCCTTTCGCCGGCGCCGCCACCTCCGCGCCCGCGAGCTCACCTCGCCGCCGCCTCGCGGAGGGCAGCTGCGCTGGCCGCTCGGTCACCGCCGAGGCTCGTGCGCAGCTGCCGGGCCGTCGCCCCGTGCAGGGCGACCGACAGTTCGGCCCCCCAGCGCTGCGTCAGGGCGCTGGCAATCGCCGTGCTGCCCCCCTCTTCCCCCAGCCCCTGGGCGAGGTCGCGCGCCAACAGCCGCAGGTGGCGCAGCGCGGCCCTGCCGTGCCGGCCCCCTGTCTCGAGGGCCAGGGGCAGGACGGCCCACGGCGCACGTCCGGCCGGATAGCGGCGCCGCTTGTCGCCCTCCGCCTCTGCGTTGACGGCGCCGTCCCTCTGGGCAGCCGCCGCGAGGTGCTCGGCGTCGCCCGGCACGGCGTACCGGACGGTGACGTCCGCGAACTGGCGCGGGCATCCCTGCGCTTGCGCCTCGAGGTCCAGTATGGCCTCCTCACGCTCGATCTGCAGAGGCGCCCCGCACCCACTGCATGGCCCCGCGGGCGGGTCGAGCGTCGTGCCCCGCGCGTTGCAGCGCGCGCAGCGCCATTTCCAGCGGTCCCACGCAGGTGTGGATGCGCTCCCAAGCGTCTTCCACAGCCCGGCTGCGCGCCACTACGCCGCCGCCGCAGGCGCACCGGTAGGCGTGGCGCGCTTTGGAGCACAAGGGCTCCCCGCACTGCTGTCCGGCTCGCGGGCCCGTGCGAGTGCGGTTCTGGCAGCGGGCGCCAAGGGGCGCGCAGTCCTGGCCCAGCAGGGCGCGCGCCGTGGCGCAGTAGTCTGCGTCGCCGAGTCTCTGGCCCGCGGCCCCCGGCGAGGCCAGCTGCCAGCCGGCCGCGCGCGGGCCGCCACAGGAGCGCAGGCTCGCTCGTTCCTCGAGGCTGGAAGCGCTTAGCAAGGCTGTAAAGTTGTTTTGGTCTAGCCGTTGCGTGAGCAGCTGCTGTAGCTTCTTGCGAGGTTCGGCGGCGAGGTCGCGCCAGGGCGGCAGGGCATGCCCAGCCTCTCCTCCCGCGGCGGCCGCGGCGGCGGCCAGCGGCGGCGGCGGCGGCAGCGCGGCCCCTGCGGGCGCCACGGGCGGCGCGGCCGACGGCGGCGCCGGCGGCGCGACCGCCGCGCCCGTTGGCGGCGCCCTTAGGGCGGCGCTGGCGGCTCGGCAGGCAGCGGCCAGTGGGAGCGCGCTCTGGTCCAGGTCGCCCAGCCCCGAGACTCTCGCCCTCGCCCGAACCTCCGCGAGGCTCTGCGCCCAGGAGCCCACCCAAGCCGCTGGGGCGATCCCCTCTTGGCTCCGGAGCCCTCTCCCGCCCAGACGTAGCGGCAGTCTGCACTGTGCCTGGTTGGAGGGCGTCAGCGGGTCTAAGCGGAGCAGGCGCTGGTAAGCCTCCAAGACCGCCTCGTCGTAGGCGGCAGCCGCGGCCCTGGTGCAGTCGGGCGGCGAGGCGCGCAGCAGGTGCGTGATTTTCCCAGTCCCGCAGCAGGAGCGCCCCGGCCTGCGTCGCGTCCAAGTAGGGCGAGGCTTCTGCGGGCAAGTCGGCCAGCTTGTCCAGGAGGTTCGCAGCCCGGGCCGCGACGCCGTTGCAGTGTTCCGCCGCGTAGCCAGGCGTCCCCAAGGCGAAGCTGCGCCTGTCGTTCTCCGCGGGCAGGTCAAGCGGCCGCGTCGTCTCCAGCGGTGCCCCCACCAGCGTAAGGCCTGCAGGGCGCCAGTAAGGCTCCAGCCCGGTCGGGCACGGCGAGCGGGCGGACCACGCCTGCGTTTTCCTCGGCTCCAGCTCCAGGCCGATCCGCCCAAGCGCCGCTTGTGCCGCGGGGAGCACCTGCGCTGCGAGCGCGGCGGGGGCCAGGACGATGGTGTCGTCGAGGTAGGCCAAGACGCGCGCGTCGTCGGCTGGCAGCCCCGCGGCCGCTGCCGCCGCGCGCAGGTCGTCCTCCAGCTGTTGCAGCGCTGGCTTCGCTGCGCAAGCGTAGAGAAGGGGCGCCAGCGGGTCCCCTTGGTCCACCCCGCTGGCGGCGCTCAGCTCGTGGCACTCCCCGCTGCCATCCCAGTAGAGGTACCTGGAAGTTCGTCTGCAGAAGAGCTCGGCGTAAGGGAGTAGCTCGGGGGCTAGCTCCTCCAGCTGGCGCAAGCAAGCCGCGCGGCGGACCGACCCGCATGCGTTCCGGGCGTCCAGGGCCACCAGGACGAGGTCGGGCCGCGCCTCGGTGAGAGCCCGCGCCGTGTGTGCCAGGAGCTCCGTGCCCGCCGCGGTCCCGATGGCAAACTGCTGTCTGCCCAGCTTCTCCGCTAGCTGCTCCTTGCGAGGCTGAACCAGTGCCCGGCCCACCAGGCGGCGGAGGATGTTCGGGGCGGCGATTGGGCGCACGCCGCCCGCTGGCTTCCGCAGCGGAGTGAGCCTGGAGAGGGCCATCGCAGCCGCCGCGCTCTCCGGGACGCGGCCCAAGGAAACGCGGTCACAGACACCGCACAAGGCTGTCGTCGCCCTGCTGTCGGCCAGCACCGCCCGCCAGTGCTCGTACCGGCCCCCGCCGGCCGCCGCTGCGCTCCCTCTGGGGCTGGCGCGCAAGGCCTTCCTCAGCGTCCTGTGGCTGAGCGCCGGCGCCGTGTCTGGCGGCGGCGGCGCGCGCGCCGGCAGCGGCTCCTCTTGGCTCGGCTGCAGGAGCTGCTGCATCCGCCTCCCCGTCTCCTCGGTGAGCGGCGCCAGGCCCGGGCTGGCGAGCAAGGCCGCCGCGCGGGAATATTCTTCGTTCAGCGTCTTCCGGATCACCTCGTCGGCCCTGTGACTGTCGTCCTGGCAGTCGCTGTCCCGCTCGCGGCGGGCCCGCGCGAGGGCCCGCGCGTGACCGTGCGCCTCGGCCAGGAGCTCCTCCCAGGCCCCGCGGTGGAGCGTCGAGCAGCGCTCGCGCACCATTCTGGCGCGATCCTGCGGATACGTGTCTGGGGACCTACGCTGTCTCCCAGCACGCGGGCGCATTGGCGCGAAGAAAAGGAGGCGCTCCCGAAGCATCAGAAGCTTCCAACCTCGCTCTTCCGCCGGGCTCCCAGGCGCCGCCCCGAGGAGAGCCTGGCAGATCTCCTCGGTGATCAGTGCTGCTGCTGCCCGCGCTGCGCTGGGCACGAGCCGCAAGGTGGGGCAGTCCACGCGGAATTCTTCGCAGAGATCCACGCCGTCCAGCTCCGCCCAGCAATCGCCAGCCAAATCCTCGAGGGGCCTCCGCGGCCCCAGCGCCGGTGCAGCCGCCGGTGCTGCCGCCGCCGCCGCCGCCGGCCCTGCCGCCTGAGCCGCCGGCGCCGCCGCCGCGGCCGCCGCGGCATCCGAGGCTGGCACGGTCGCCGGAGTGGCCGCCGCGAGCGCCTGTATGCCGTCGGCTCCAGCGGCGGACCCCAGCCCCGCGCTGGCGGCTGCGGGAGCGGCAGCATCCACCGCGCAGTCCCGGCACACTGCGGCCCCGCACGGCTCGCACCTGTACAGCCATCCTCCCCGTCCAGGCCCGCCATGGATGGCGCAGGTCTCGGCCGCGCTGTCAGGCCGCGCCGCACGCAGAAGGCCATGGCAGCTCGGACAGGCGAACTGCGAAGCAGCGCCGGGAGGGCCCGGGTGCCGCGCCTCTCCGACGCGAATGCCCGTCCATCCGCACTGCCACGTCACGCAACAATCCGCCTCCTGCCGGGGCCGCGGCGGCCGCGAACACCAGGAGCGCCCAAGCGTGCTGCTCGACGCACTCGTCCTCCTCGGAACCGGGCTCCCATCGACGGATCGGCCGGCAAGAGGCCAAAGGAGGGAAGGTCGCGCCGCCTCGTGCGCCTGCCGGCGGGGCGGCGGCGGTCGGCAGCGTCGGGAGCGCTCCGGCGCGCCTCCCGGAGCACTCGTCCTCCTCCTCCTCCTCCTCCTCCTCCTCCTCCTCCTCCTCCTCCTCCTCCTCCTCCTCCTCCTCCTCCTCCTCCTTCCTCCTCCTCCTCCTTCCTCCTCCTCCTCCTCTCCTCCCTCCTCCTCCTCCTCTCCTCCTCCCTCCTCCTCCTCCTCTCCTCCTCCTCCTCCTCCTCCTCCTCCTCCTCCCTCCTCCTCCTCCTCCTATCTCCTCCTCCTCCTCCTCCTCCTCCTCCTCCTCCTCCTCCTCCTCCCGCGCGGTCCCCCCTGCCTCCCGGGGGCCGCCTCCACCTCGAAGTCGAAGGTCTGCCCGCGCCGCATGCGCCGCGAGCACACGACGACGCCCGCCTGGGGCGGCCCGCGCCCGCCGGCGGCGCACCGCAGATTTGGACGCCCGAAACGGGTACTTATGGAACAATGGGCACAGGGCAGTTCGTAATACATGGATTTGTTTTAAATATTGGATTTTGAATACATGAGTAGTGTATGAATACATGTATGCAGGAACTCATCCTGGTTTTTGCTACTGAACCCCTGTATGTTTAATACAAGATCAGCGCGCGGAGCGTGTACTAAAAACGGCACTGCCCAATGCCCAACCACAGATGTTGTCCCAAACCAACAGCGGCCGCTGTTGGGCGGGCGGCCTCCTGCCTCCAATGGAAACGGGCCGCGGCGGCGCGGACAGCGAGCCCTGTCCAGGAGGAACAGGAACTGCTGCTGGGCGCTGCACCCATCCTTTCCGTGCCCATCTCGGGCGTCAAAAAGCAGAAGCGGCGCCGTCGCAGCTCTCCTGACACTCCCGGCCCCTCTCCCTGGCCCTCCTGGGGCCTCCAGGAGCCTCGGCAAAACAGGGCTAGGATCGGGATAAATCGCTCCAGAGCGTTCCGGAGCGCTCTCAGAGCGTTCCGGAACGCTCTGGAGCGGCCGCGGCGCCCAATACATCCTCCAAACCCGCCGATTCTCAGAGATTTCGAAGTATCCCGATCCGATTTTGCCCCGATCTTCGCGTCGTTTTACTCGGGCCTCGGGAGGGCTCGGCGCGGACCGCGAGGAGGAGCGCCTCGGGCACCTCGGGGAGCCAGGCCTCGGTCCCCCCCTCGGGCCACCAAGGGGCCTCTGCACGGCTCCGTGGGCCTCCCGGCTGGGGCCTCGCCCCTCTGGCGCCCCCTCTCTCCGTTCTCGGGGCGATCCTGCCCCCCCCCACAATCGAGGGCTCCTGGCGCCTCGGGAGGATCCGGCACTGGCCATCGCGCGGACGTCCATTTCCTTTGTTTTTTTTGGTTTCGTGCGTGGTTTTTTCGCCAAGTGATCAAGGATCCTTCTCGATGATCCTCGCCGAAAGAAAAATGCACACGTCCAAGCGATGCCAAGGGCACGGGCCAATCCTTTTTGCATTAGTGTCTGGCCGCGGCAGGAACTGCCCTGGGAATGCTGGCGCCGACTGGAAGAAGTCACTCCAGAGATGCGGGCGCGCCAAATCGACAACCGATCCGCGGGCAGCGCGGCCTCTTCGCAGACGGCACGGCCGCATTCGTAACTCTGCCGAGCCCGTCGACCAGGCCGGAAGCAGCCTGTGGGCCAACGTTAGGTGTGCAAAGTCAGAGCCATAATTCAGTCATTGTTCTGCGTATGCGCGTGTGTGTGGTTTTTGTGTTTGTTGGTTTGTGTTTATGTCCCGCCCAATTTGTTGTTGTGTGTTGCTGTGTTTTGTGTGTTGGTTTGTGTTTCTTTGTGTCTGTTGCGTTTTTTTTTATGTGGCGCGGTCATCGGAAGCCGTAGATACAACACGACTGGCCGGGCCGGGCGTTGCCACAGGTGGCCCCCACTCCTCCTGCTCCTCCTCCTCCTCCTCCTCCTCCTCCTTCTCCTCCTCCTCCTCCTCCTCCTCCTCCTCCTCCTCATCCTCCTCCACCTCTCCTCCTCCCCACCTCCTCCCTCCTTCCCCCCTCCCCCCCCTCCTCCCCTCCTCCTCCTCCTCCTCCTCCTCCTCCTCCTCCTCCTCCTCCTCCTCCTCCTCCTCCTCCTCCTCCTCCTCCGCCGCCGCCGCCCCTCCCTCAAGCACGAGGGGCCCGAGCCCCGTAGTACCATCTTTTGGCTCTATTGTGTTCGAAGCTCCTGCTCAGTGCCTCCACGTGGCGCTTGAGGGGCACGCCTCACGACTGGAGTTCAGCGGTTTTCGTCAGCTTCTATCAGGTAGGCGTTGGCAAGATCTGGGCAAATCAGTTCGTTCTCGTGGCAGACCTGCTCTTCAAGCTCGGCATCCGGCCAATGCGGGATGAGCCCGGAGTGGCTGGCATTCCCCGCCGTGGCTGCCGTGCAGGACGAGCCCTGGTGTGCCTAGCATTCCCCGCTGTTGTATGCAGTGGTGGTCTATGTCAATATGTAAATCGTGGAATATTGGCGGCGAGGTCAACTATTCCGCTTCACCGTCTTTTTCTCAGGCGTCTACTGTATGGGCTCAGCTGCTATTGAGTGCCGCGGTATCCACCGACTGGATTGTCTGCAGTTGGTGGCTTCACTCGAACATTCAAGTTCGCCATGGCCTTGGTGCTCAGTCTCTGTGTGCGGGGCGAGCCCTGGTGTGGCTAGCATTCCCCGCCGTGGTTGCAGGGGTGGTCTATGTCAGTTGGTAAATCGTGGAGTTTGGGCGGTGATGCCAATCCTTTTGCTTCACCTTCATCTCTCAGGCGTTTGCTCTATGGGCTCTGCTGCTATAGTGTGCCTCGGTATCCACCATCAGGTTGTCTACAGTTGGTGGCTTCCTCGTGCATTTCACGGTCTCTGCATGTTTGTAAATCGTGGAGTTTCGGCGGCGATTCAATCTCTGCTTCACCGTCTTTCTCTGGCGTCTTCTGCAGGGGCTCAGCAGCTCTAGCCGCTTCTGCATCCACAACTGGATTGTATTGCAGCGTTCAAATTTCAGTTATAAGTGCTTGGGGCGTGCTGCGGGCTTCTCCTCGAGGCATGGTTGTGTATCTATTTCGCTACCGAAGCTGATGGTGGTCTTGGCGATCTCTTCGGGAGGTAGCTCGATGACCGCGCCACGGTGCGCGACAAGAGCCGTATCGAGTCAGCAGCATGCCAGCTTAGAAGGTGGAGAAAAGGTATTTCTTCCGTACTTCGTGGTAGGGAGTCCATGTTGCAGCAGGCTTCAATTCACGAAAGAAGTTTCATGTTCTGGAGTATGGAGTTGTGGGCAAGTCCGTCGCTTGCTCTGCTGGAGGGAATATTCTCCTCGGCATCATACGGCGGGAAGTGTGCGCCCGCGACTTCACCTCGTGAGTGGGGCGTTCCAGACGGGTCTCACGAGTCCTGCACCCTATTGCAGGTGACTGAGTTCAGCCTTCATATCCCTACGGGATGGAGCCTGTTTTGTTTTAGACTCTGGCAAATTTACTTGCATGGACGGGGGGGGGGGGGGGGGGGCTGACCTGAAGCAAGCCCCGGGCGGCCCGTAACACGGGGCGTGAGGGGGGGGGGGGCGGCGGAAATCCATGAAAGTCGAAAGGCACTTGCACGCTAGTATATCCGCTTGAAGAGGAGAGGGCGACGAGAGGGGGGGGGACGGAACGCCATCAAGTAAACTTGCCTGAATCCAAAAAAAAAAACAGTGGCAGAAATCCTGGAAAACCTCCCGCTGAGCGCTACGCTGCCCCTCATATCCCCCCCGGGCGGCCCGCGGCTCCTCCGTGGAGGCCCAGGCGGCCTCCCCGGAGCTCCGAGATGACGGGGCACCCCAGATAATGAGGCATGCCCCCCCCCTCCTCATCCTCTTCCTCCTCCTCCTCCTCCGCCTCCTCCTCCTCCTCTTCTTCTTCGTCTTAGTATGATTATTATTCTTCTTATTATTAGTAGCATTCTTATTCTTAGTAGTAGTATGATTCTTCTTATGCGTACTAGTATTATTCTTCTTAGTACTATTATTAATTCGCCGGCCCAACGGGCCAGGGCGTGCTAAGATCTCCGGCACCTGGTTAACAGTATTTCTAGTTCGCGCGCGCGGGGCGGCCCCTGGGGGTCCCCGGACGAAAAGTACCCCGGCAAGGTCCCGGCAAGTCCCCGGCAAGGTCCCGGCAAGTCCCCGGCAAGGTCGGGTCAGAGATGCCGGAGTGCTGTTACAGGGCCCCAGGACGGGCCAAGAGGTCCCCAAGAAGCCTCCAAGACGGTCCAAGAGGGCCCCGAGACGGCCAAAGATCGCCCGAAGACGCCCAACAGGTCCCCAAGACAGCCCAAGAGGCCTCCAAGACGCCCCAAGGGCCTTCCAAGAGGCCTCCGAAGAGGGCCCCAAGAGGCCAAAATCGTTGATTTTCATTGTTTTTTTCTATGTTTTTTGCGTTCTGGCTTTTTCGGCTTCCGGACGCTCCAAGACGGCCCAAGAGGCCCCCAAGACCGCTCCAAGACGGCCCACGAGGCTCCCAAGACGGCCCCGGAACGGCCCAGGAGGGCCCCCAAGACGGCCCAAGTGCCGCCCAAGACGGACCACGAGGCCCCAAGACGGGCCCAAGAGGGGCTCAAGAGGGGAACCGAGAACTGAACAATCGAGCCCTCCGCCCCAGAAGGCGCCCAGGAGGCCCCAAAAAGGCCCCAAGAGGCCCCCAAGAGGCCCCCAAGACGCCCCAAGAGGCGCCCAAGAGGCCCAAAAGAGGCCCCAAGAGGCCCCAAAACGGCCCCCAAGAGGCCCCAAAACTCGGCTAGCCCACAACGGTGCGACAAAATGGGCCGGCGGAATGAGCGAAGCGATGAAAAAAGGGGGAAGAGAGAAAGAGAGGAGATGAGAGGAGAGGATGGAAGAGAGGAGCGGGGCGAAACGGAGCGGAAAGGAGAGGGGAGGAGAGGGGAGGAGAGGAGAGGGGCATCGCGGGGCGCCGCCTCTTCAGAACGAGGATTCAACGCCGACGCCGCAGGATGGCCGCCATAGCCGCCACTTACGAGCAAGCTGCCTCGCTTCGCTGCGCTGATTGGGACCGAAATACCAGCCTGGAACATATCCCTATCCCTATGCTGGGCATCTCCTCATCACGATGCCAATCTTAGGGAATCCCTTATTTTTTGAGGGCGAATCCATCAGATTATCATCGCCTTTTGGCGAGTCAATCTTAGGGATAGGGATAAGTTCGAGGCTGGTAACCGAAATAACAATAAAGTACACGAGCTCTTGTGCTTGAACGCGCGCGGCCCGACGCGCGGCCATTGCCGACGCGGGAGGGCAACTCTCGGCGCAATTCCGCGGGGCCTCGCGCGGCGCGCACGCAGCAGGGCCCATGGGCGCCCCGATGGAGAGTCCAATGGCGCAGCCGAAAGAGCCAGCGACAACCGACCCCACCAGGCAAATCAAGTTGAAGGGG